GCAACTTCTTGTATTTTATTAAGAAGTAAGGAAATTATGCTGAAATCAAGTGCAAGATTCAAATAATAAACAAAATGAAAATACAGGACCTGAAAAAAAAAAAAAGTAGCTTTGAATAAAAAAGCCCTTTCCCTCCTTTCACTCCCCTCCCATGAATTCCAACTGATGAGATTAATTACCAGTGCAGCACCAGTTAAAAAAAAAATATTTAAACAGTATTTAACACATCTGTAACACTGCAGCCATTCTGTCTTTCACAGGAGAAGCTACTGTCATTTTAAATAAAGCAATTTTCATACTGTAACTTTTTTTGGCTGTCATTGTGTTTACTACATCGTTTCAAAAAGAGGTGCAGTGACCTTAGGAAGTCCTGTACCTTTATATAGGTAATTTTTTCCTCCACTTCCCCCTGGCTGATACAAGCAGAGAGACTTTGTTTCCTGTGCACAATTACACCTACCCCTTCCACTGATGGAAATCAGGAAAAGTCTACTTGAAATGAAAGGGGGGTTTAAATGCCATCAAAACCCTCAAGTGGAAGTTGCTGAGTAACTGTCCGATGGTTCTTAATCACCAAGGCTGACAACTAAGTATTTAGCAAATGTCACATTAAGAAACTTGGCTGGGTCAGCCGACTGTTCAGCTCCATAGTACACGCAGGTAGGAATGTTCACAGGGCAACATCTCAGAAAACCTAAACAGAGCAGCATACCCATGCTCACCATATTTTCTTGTTTTAAGCGCCTGCTTACAAATGCAGATGACATTTCTCTTCTACTCAAGTTCTTATCCCATTCTCATCACTGCTGTAACGGAGCATCTTCCAGTACCGCAGTAATCGGTCAGGCTCCCCCAGGCAGGGAAGCGTATACGTATCAACGCGTTGCTTTAACGGCAGTTTTCTGTCCCTACAAACCTCGGTTTTCATACTGAGAACTTCTCACTGACACTTTCAGCACAGGGTATACGCTCTGCAAATTTAACACATTTCTGCCCAGAAAGCCCAATGCAGATTCTAAAGGCCTATGAATATATTTGGTTACAGTTATACAAAATCATTCCAGACGAGCTACATCCCTGCTCGCCCTTCCCCTCCAAGATCACAGTAGCTGCAAATGAAGTTCACGACGCTGCATAACGACATCTTCTAGGAAACGAGCATTTAATGTGAATGCGACATGCAAATATTAAGACAGGACACCAGACTTCTTTTCTTTCCCTTTCCCACTGGGTGTTTTATTTTGTAGCATTTGCATTAGGTAATCAACTGAAACACTTCAACAACAGAAAGCTGGCAGCATAGTAAGGAAAAATGGAGATTATTTCCTCAAACAGCTGTGACAAAATGGTTTCAAGTTGGAAGAGTATTGCACAAACGAATCAATTTACGGAGGGTGAGTTGGAGCGAGTGTCTTCAACATGGATTGTGAGGAAAAAAGGCACTATTTAGCTGAGTGTGTGTTTAAAAAGAAAAAAAGTCATGAAGCACAATCCATGTTTTCTCAAAATTACATTCAGTACTGCTTTAGAAATGCTCACAAACCTGTCTCTTTTTACAGAAGCTACAGAAAGTTGCTGATGTAAATACCAGACAGTACAAGTGGTAGAACATTTATAATTATGCTCCAGAAAAGTCTCAGGAAGAGGGCTCTTTCTATAAATACTGCTGCAAAGGTTACACAGTTGCATAGGCTTACAGTAAAGGAAGCATCCATGCAACTAAGCAGCCTTACTGTTTCCTTAAATTTAATCTCTAGTAGTCATAAAATATGCTCCGATTTTCATGAACTTAACTGGCAGTGCACTGGACCAGGCCTCCCCACCGCCTGCTTAAGCAGCACACTTCAGACAGCGTCATCCATATACCTTTTGCCACATACACATTTAGCAACACCAGGTAAGCTTAATGGAAAAATTTAACACAATTATAACAGAAAATAACTGAATTTTCCCTGACATAAACCAGAACTGTTCTGAGACCATAAATAAGCAAATGTTTATTCCTGGAAAGTAAAAACAGCTAAGTACCTTTAGAAAAACTAAGTACCCAGAAAAGGCATTCCAAATGACCAGGATGGGCTGCTTCTTCCTCTCCCATACTGTAGAGCTATAAATTTTCATGCCTGTCTGAAAACGAAGCCACGATCAGCGTATCATTAATAGAGAGGCTGCTTGAAAATCAGCCCAGAGCAAGCAGAAATACGGACGAAGGACATTCTGCACCCAGCCTTGTGTCTGCTCATAGATGCACTAACAAAGGAAGAGTGAAATTCTTGTTGTGTGGCTGCAGAATTATTATGGGAAGGAACTAAACCCACTGTTGCTCTCCTGCCAGCACTGCCCAGTGTATCACAAGTGCTCCAGGCACGCTGCAGTCACCAGCGCAGCTGGACCTACCGCCACTACGCTGACATCGCGTTTCAACGGGGCGACAGTTCTGCACAAAATCTGAGCATCAATTCTGTACAAGAAGTACAGAAGAGTGTAACAAAATCTACTGTCAACTAAATATAGTACGAGCATTTCAGCACCTTTCAAATGAATTTAGCCCTGCAAAATGCCAATCTCACTCCTGTGCAGAGGCTACAGTGATTTCAGTTAGAAGATCCATGTTCAGGAGGCTGCACAGTAAGTTTACTGATCATACAACTTGCAACAACAAAAATCCATGCGCTGCTGCTTTTCACTGTAAGGGGAAAATGCACAAGATACATTCTGTTTATGTACTGTAAAATACTTTTAATACCAACAATTTGGATGGTTTCCGTTTCTGAATAGAAGATGAAAAAAGCAGGTTATTAAAAATCTGCAAAGCTCCTTTTCCCAAACCATCTTTTAGGAAATCCAAATTTGATAGTTCTGAATTCAAAGGATTCTAAAAAGTTCACAGTTGACTTAATGGTTGCACTAGATATAGAAAGTAGACAGCCTTGATTTCCTCTGGGTTCCACAGACAATAACATTTTCAGAGTAGTCTGGAATGAATACCTCTCCAACTGCAGCTGGCATGTAAAAAAAACACCTATTCCTAAAATTCTTACTTGTGTCAACCCTGTCAGTTCACAGCAAAGAACAGGAAGGGCTACCTGATTAATTAAAATGTATTTTCTTACATGAACTATGAAAAATATATTGCTCTTTTAAAAGAAAAATTGCATTGTTCTATTGTTTTTGTTACTGAAGACTCATAATTAAGAAATTCTAAACCTGTAAGAAAAAAAAAGAAACACAACTTTTAAAATTGCTTACAGAACAGAAGAGGTTTCTGTAGACTCTACTGAAATCAGTAGAACTTTTGCCTATTTTTTTCTTGCCAATACAAAAACATTCTGTCTACATACCTATTTCATTACTTGGATGAATATTTTATGTCTTCACTTAGTAAACCCTTCTGCTTTCTTAGAGGTCATCTTCTGAAACTTCTGAAGGAGACTCAAAGAAGGTAAACTGATTTGTATTATTCTGAAGGAAAACAACAGAGTCAAAATAATGTCTTACATAAAACTGTCACTGAGTGGATAATCTTTCCTAGCATTATAAATATTATTTAAAAAAAAGTTACTGCTTTGTTAAGGAAATGTTTCGATCTTCATTGGCTACTTCTTGTGTGTGACTCCTCAGTTCATTTCTTTAGGTAGGAAACATGCCTTCATGTGTGAACCAACACATCCTATTCCCAAACATGTTGGCATTATTAATGACGTCAACAGACAAGAACTAGAACAGGAAATCTTATGCATGGTTCATGTTCTATATAAATGGTAAGCTATCAGAAGGAACTTCCCTGATTATTCAGGAAGAACAAAGAGAGATCTATTTTTAAAATTCAAAGGGAAAAATCCAAGAAAACAAAGAAAATGCAAGATGTACTCAATAGTGTCTCATTATCCTCTCAGTAACTGGGCTGTTGCTTTTGGCTGCAGACATCCAGTTCACAGACCATTTTCCATTTCCTTTGTTTTCATTACAAGAACAAGCTGGTTAAAGAAACTCCACTCGGTAATTTTAAACTAAGCCTTCAGCATCATCCCTTAGGAATTCAAACCTTTACCACCATTCCTCACTTTGTCTCCTCAGTGCCTTCCCCCATCAAACCCTGTGAAAAGCACTTTAAGAAAAGGCAGGTGTAAGATGTGTAAATACTTAGATCTTGAAGAAAATTCAGTAGGAAACATTCTTGTAGTTCTCCACTGCAATTTGCTATAATGCAGTGGCCCCAAACATCTGCTCTCAAATTTCAATTTACTTCATCTACCAGGTGTTTCACATTGTTAATAATGGCAAGCCACAAATTTACAATAGTCACATAAGGCAGTTACATCAATACAATTATGTCAATCAAGTTCACTGCATCTTTCTCAGCCAGACTACACATGACATTTTTCTTCTTGTCCTCTTACCATAATAAAAGGGTGAAGACTACATTTCTGTAAAGAGAATCCCTGGACAACATTCTGGTATTGAAGTCAGAGGTCACTGAAGTGCATTTCAGCAATGTCCAACACTTAACCGGGAAGTAGATGTTATGTTTTTTCACTTCACACATAACAGAACTGGTGCAAAAACCCCACTTTAAACTAGATACTTTAAACCTTTTGGTCCAAATACATAAAATAAGCAGTATTTACAGCATTTTACTCCTTTTGTAAATGCAATGCTTTAAAACACGTTATAAAGCACCTTAGTAAAAATATTCTACAAGTAAAAGTATCGAAGTAGTAGGAAAACCCTAACCATACCACAGCTCACTAATGGAGTCATAATATGGATTCACCATACCTCAGTTTACAATTATTACAAAGAATCCATGGAGAAACTTAATACTGAATTTATGATTTTTATACCACTGCATAAGGATCAACTGGAAGGGCAGACAACACCAATTTTCTTCATAGTTTTCCCAACCTCAGTCAGTGGTGATGGGGATAAAAAACCAAAACAAAAACCCCACTGCTTTAACTTTTTACAATATTAATGTGGAAATGATGTTTTAACACTAATGATTAGTTGTAATTTTTTAATAAAACCACATATATAAATATGGGCAATTTCAGCAGCAGCAGCATTTCTCAGCAAAACATGATTAACCATCCCAATTAATATCATGTGACATGATTCACAAAACCAAAGCGCAGATGTCAACCAGTTATTAACACTGCTGATAATTGTATGCAACCAAAACTTCCATGTTGAAAGCTGGGAAAAATTATTTCCTCTTCACAGAAGTATAAATGAAAATAAATTGCTCTGAAAATTAAAAAGAGCATCAACAGAAGCATTTTTTGTTTGTATTTTCAACTAGAACTGCTGTGTATTAATTGCTCCAAATTAAAGTGTAGATTTCTTCAGGTAAAGGATATTAACTCCCACTGAAAGTGTTAGTTAGATAAACGAAATGAAGCCTTCGCTTCTGGATTACCAACATAGTTAGCCAGTATCCAACACCCTGGAGGTGATCCACAGCTCATCTCAGATCTATAAAGAAACGTCCTGGAGGTCTACAAGCAATCTAGTTTCCATGGCTGAGGACTAAGATGACGATGTGACCAAAGATTTAGGTCCATAAATCTTATAGCATAATGTTCTTAGTTTGATTTAGGGTAAATCTTTTCATAGAAAAAGTTTTGAGCAAGAATATACAATTCTCCATCTTTTTCCCGAACCGCATGTGCTCTGACAAACTGAAATTGCTCCAGTGCAAATTCATAGAACTCATTCTCCATTTTCCAGATTTCAGACTGTTGTAGCTTGGCAATAGTTTCTTTTGTGGGAAGTTTTTTCTCAGTGGTTTTCCTAAGATGAGACTTCTTTCCTAAATGCAAAATGAAAGCAATAACTTCAATTTAAAGTTCAAGTGATTAAAAAATGTTTACAGTCCTTTTATTTACAGAGTCTTATGCTCTCACAGCATGTTGATAAATTGCATTAGAAGTGACAGAATTTAATCCAGAATTTATTAACATAACATGCGGGGTCGGAAAATTGCAGTCTCTCTCAGTAAATGTTAATGAATTTTGCATCAGTTCTTTCAATTCTTTCTCCTTACTCTAATAAACCCAGGGAATGAACACTTCATTTAAGGAACAAGATTGCTCCATATAATGCACTTGGAGCAAGATTGGGCTTTCGAAATTAACTATTTAGATGTTAATCTGGTATCAAACGTTAAGAATTTTACAAACTGCAGAGCAAGAGACGTCTTTCATGAGACAAAGACGACCAAAATGATGGCAGCATTTTCCCTAAGAAGTGCTATCTGTTTCTTTATAATAAACTTGTTAATGTTACACATCTAGGCACTATACATCAGACACTTTTCTTCCTCTATTTGCAGACAGAAGCCCTGCTAAGATGGACCTTTTCTTCATCATAAGTTGCACAGCCAGCCTCTAGAAACTGAGCTACTAGCTATATAACAAACATCTTATTACGACCCCAGGAAGATAAACATGTACTAGGCCCTTTGCATCCTTTGGGCCTTTTTGCACAGACGTAGGTTGCATCAGGCACAGTTAATTTCATCAGCAGGGCTTCTGAGGAAATGGAAGTCTGCCCCTGCAAGACCTTTCAAAAATGTTCTGATAAACACCTGTCACAATACTTCAAGTGCAGGATACCTACACAACTGCCTTTACTCCAACCTTAAGTATTTACAATTCGTGTAACACAGGAAGATAACTTGGGTTGCTCTCAAAAATCTGTACTGAGTCTTTTAAAGAGTTTGTCTCTTCTGTAGGTATATCAGGCAAACCTGGCAGAGACTCAAAACTATTCATCTAGGTCTAAAGAATTCACATGAAAAAAGTGGTAGGAGGATGAAAAATCCATGGAATCCGTGGAAATCAACCATTTAGATACCTGTACGGTACAGTTCTGTGGCACCCCTGAAGAACCGGGGCAAAGCTGCCTCCAATAACATGATAAAGTCTTCAAGCTCTTCAGTAACTCCCACTAGGAAGTATTCATTAATCAGATTGTATTTGGCTTGTTCCAAAGCCCATCTGCTTCCCACATTCCTAAAATGACAGAGAACAATTACAGCAAGTTATCATGTCAGCCAACAATCCTTCGTCCCTAGATGGAGATCACTTCATAACAGGGCACTTAAATAGGACAGCAAGACTCATTTCAAGTTATAACCATTCCTAACTTCATTTCTATTTCTACTTTCTCTCATCTGTGTTCTTTGGCCCTTGGTATCTAAAACTTAGACTCCTCTAGTTGTTTTGACTAATAACTCATGCACAAAAAAGCAGTGGGTATACATGGTTCCTGTCTCTAGTAATGCAATTTTTGAAGGATTTACATGTTCTCAATGTCAATACTCAGTCTACACTTTCACCTTAGATATCAGAAATGGTTCTGGTAAGAACACACCTTCCCTTTTGCATAGAATCATAGAATGGTTTGGGTTGGAAGGGACCTTAAAGATCATCTAGTTCCAACCCCCCTGCCATGGGCAGGGACACCTTCCACTAGACCAGGTTGCTCGGTCTTCACTGGCAAGAGCATGAGCCGTACCCCCAAAGTCACGGAAGACGAGGGCAGGTATTGGGAGAATGGAGAGCTGCCCATGGTCAGCGAGGATCAGGTTCGAGAACGCCTGAGGAACCTGAAGGTGCACAAGTCCATGGGACCCGATGGAATACATCCGCGGGTCCTGAAAGAACTGCATCCTACAAGCACAACTAGGAACTAGAAAGGCATCGCGCTTAATGGGAGGACTTCCCTACTGAAGGACAGTCAGAAATTAAACTGACATTTCTTCCTCCTTTTTATAGCTTTAGACAGAGTGAAAAGAGAGGTTCAGAGTTCGTTCTTCCTCTGCTTTTCCCCCTGGCCCAGGTGTAGACAGGTCTGACCAACAGCCACTGAAAGAGGCACTCCCAAGTGCTGGTTTACTTTGCTTATGCTTGTATGAACAGTACCTTTGACAAATACTTCTTTTTTAGTTTGGTGAAGAGTTCTTTAGGTCTGTGCCATTGTTATAAAACATGCTGCATTGACAGATAGGCACTATTTACTTTTGTTTCAGTTTCTACTAAGTAGCAATGACTACTGGATGTCTGGTAAAGGTTTAAGAAGACACATTTATCCTGATCTCAATTGTTTTATTCTCCACAGAAACTCTAGGAGCTTGAACAAAATATCTCCGTGCAGAAAGACAGATACTGTAGTAGCCTGACATAAGAGAAAAACATCAAGACTCCCAAAAATTATTTTTAAAATTGAAAACATCTGTTTTCCTTCAGCACTGCTGATAAAGTATCTTAACGTACTGCTTGTTTGAAGAACTGCAAGACTGTTTCAGTAAAATGCAGCTTTAACAGAGAATACATTATTAAAGTACCTGCTGCTTCTCCCTGTCCAGTCCCTCACACTTTCCCCAACTGTGCTACATATTCAAATTTGTTAAGCTTAGATTTCATCATTGATATAGCTGACTAACAACTTAAGCTACATTAATCTCCCTACCAGCATTCGGAGCTGTGGCCACAGAAGAACGGAATTTGAAGCCAAAGTTTTTCTGGAGCACAGTCTGAGCCTCCAGCTGCCACACATTCATCAAAGGTCTGGAACAAAGACAAAATTGAGCTGAGCTTTAAAATCTAGTATATGTATCAAACATGCCAACCTGGATAGTTCTAAATGTACTGGGGACAGAAAAACACAAGATATGATGTGAAAGGAAAAAAAAAGAGTAAATTTTTTCAAGCCTTGCTTTCACATTGTTATTAGGAGGACCTCTTTGTCCCAACTAAAATAGTAATTGGACAGTGTTTTATGATTAGAGCTAATGAACAATCTGATCTTACCCCATACATTTGATGTACCTTTGATATAGGCCACAAGTCAAAACAAGCAAACCCAGTCAATAAATGTTGGTATCATCATTATTCCCTTACAAAAGAAGTCACGACAGATACAGCATCAAATGCTATCAGGATTTGTGTGGTACTGGAACAGCTGGATCTTTATACCATAGAACACTGTGCAGTCTGTGTTTTAGATTAAACAATGTTCTATTACATTTTAAATATTATGACATGTAACTGCCATGTCAGAGGCTGATTTGTTTTTGGCAATCAGAAGAAGTGAAAGCAGGTTGTTCACTGCATAACAGAATCATCCACACAACATCGCTTCCTGCGGATACACAGCTGTAGCACCACAGAGTTTCAACTGAGGTAACACATTCACAATAAGAATTCCATTAGCATTGGAAAGAATTTGTAAATATTTTACCCAGTTATCATACAGTAAGCATTTATGAAATTTCTAATCAAGACAAAAGCCATGTATCTAGGATAGATTTTTTAGAAGTTAGTTAATAACAAATAAGTGATCACACAAACAACATTTTAGACTGTTTCTTCTGTATAATTACAAGTTTATGTTCAAAAAAAACATGTAAAAATAAATTTGGTTAATTTTTTGGTGTTAGACCAAGGACAGCACCCTTTGCTTATATTCTGAGGTGAAGTCCCTGAGATAATCTTAAAAATTTACTGATATCAGGCCAAAGCAGGGATTAACCTGTGGTGTCTTGGTCCACACTGCCCTTTGAGTTTGGAATAGCTCATACATGTCACATATCACAGATAAAAATGCAGTTTAATCAGGAAAACAAGACATCACTATGCCTTCTCTAGCACAGTTCTCTAGAGAAATTATACGCTGAACTATCCTGAGTACTTTATAACATCGTTACCCAAGAACTAAACTGTTTAAATGCACATCCTAATTTACACATGTATATATTAAATATGAACTGGTATCTGTCAAAAGAAAGATATCTTTGCTTATACCTGCAGTTTATTTTATAGTTAATATGTAAAAGCAAGCAAGTAATTTTCACAGTAAGATGAAACAGGACAGGGTTCTTTCCTCAATTCCTTTTATATACTTACCTTGACTGCTCCATCCAGAGATTTTATTATAAGAAACAGTTGTCTTTACAGACTGTTCTTGGACCCAAGCTATCTATAATTTTGGAAGCACCGGGAGATAGAAAGAAAATGAATGAAGAAATCTCCCCTGGAAATGCTGTAGTATGAACTGGCAGGGTATAAAGGATGTTATGATTCCCTTCCGTTTAATAAAGGCACAATTGACTTCCATTAGAAAGACTGCATTTTTGATCTTCCCTACTTTTCATTTGAACAGCTCTTAGTGAACCTACTATAAGAGAGATTAGAATAGATATCAATGTTACAGATAATGCGATTGGGTCAATACATTGTTGAACTTAGCAAATTTTATATCGAATATATGTAAAACTGACACCACCTATATATGTGCATTTTTCTCAGAAACAACATGGAAAAATAATATTACCTGTTATAAATGAAAGAAACCCTAAGACTTGGCATATCAAATCAATTTCCATTCAAACAAACTATAAATGCTTACAGTTAAACCTGTATGGCAACAATTAAGTATCAGACCTAAATAAAGTATTATGTTAGTGACAAAATGAAAAAAGCACCCTAAATTGAAAAACATAAAATTATTAATGCAATTACAAATATTACAAATAGGAATGCATTTTAACTTATTCCAGCAAATCAGAACTTAAAAGTGCAGTCTACCAACCAGTAGTATTTGGGATTTCGGCTTAACATTTCCCACTGACTACCTAACAAGGCTGCTCAGATTATAATTAAAAAATAAACGACCAATTTTAAATTTCATTCTTTTCAATAAATATTAAGTCCGATAAACAGCTTGAACTACATAGCATGCTGAGCCTTCCACCTCATCCATCTCTACCAGGAAGGAATTCCACATGGCTCCTCATGAAAAAGGAACAGAGAGAGATCTTGTCTCCCTTTTTAAAAATGCCTTTATGATACCATAACACCAAATCATGTCTGTAGTAAGTCTATGAAGATACGTTTTTTTAAGCATAATTTAAACTACTGTTCTGCATGAAGTTTTGCTCTGCCTACACTGTGGGATGTCTAACCAAACTGACATGCAGTAGCAGAAGATGGCGCCAAAACCTAAGTAACAGGGAACAATTCCACTGCAATACTTAAATTGGAAAAAAACCCCACCACTGTGTGGCTAACTATAAATAAAGTACATGTCAAAGTAAAAGTATCTACAGCTTTTGGTGAAAAATATATCTGTTTTAGTCTTCAACAAGAGAAGATGTAGATTTCTTACACAGGATTATATGCTTAACTTCATATGTACAACTCCAGATAACTGAAAACTTTTTTTAAAATTTAATTTAATTTATATTTCTTAATTGCAACATGAAGTGAATTTCTAGGGTTACAAAGAACATACTTAATGTTACACTCTGCTCCGCTGCAGACACCAGTGGTAAAATGTAACTTATAAAGCCACCATCACCACCAAGGCTGATATAAGAACTATTCAGCATTTATCAGGACATTTTTTTAGAATAGTTTTCATGTTACCTTTGGTAAAACCAACATACATAAAAAGTGTACTTTACCTTTTTATCCCCCTGTTTTCGCCTCCGTAGCCCTGGTCTGTAATCATCTCCAAAGCGCAGAAAGTAATAATAAGAAACTAGTCGTTCTATAGGATCTCTTATGACATTTATGTAAATCGGTTTCTTTTTAACACCAAATCTAAAGTAAAAGAGGAAGAAAAGTCTTTTAAAGGCCAAACAAAAGCTTCTCATCTAATACTTAAAAGTCTGTCTCTATTGATACAACTGAAATCTATACACAGAGATGATGACGGTGAGAAGTTGTTCAATGATCAATTCCTCTCATCCCCATGTGCAGTGTGTTACGTGGATCTGAAAGCCAGTTCAATTTTAGTTTTCCCAGCATTTGATTTCTGGGGTTTTTTTTTTTTTGTTAGAGAAACAAAAAACCCTGAAATATCCTCACATAACAGATACTAAAAATGTTTATACAATCATCCTGACTCTACAGACACCTTGATCGCTCTAGCAGCCACATATATGTTTATACCAAGTACGAGGAATTTCGATACGAAGTTCCTGCCCTCCCGAACTGGGCTATGCATTGCTGCAAGTGGTTTTCCTGGCAGGTCTCCAGTTGTCAGTTGCTCAGAAACTGGCTGGGGAATTGGTTAGCAGGTGGTGAAAAACTGTACTGTGCATCACTTGCTTTGTGTATTCTTTTATGGGTGGGTTTTTTGGGGTTTTTTTTGTTGTGGTTTTTTTTTTTTTTCCCCCCAATTTTCTTCCCCATCCCACCCAGGGGGATGAGGATGAGGAATAAGCAAGTGGCTGCATGGTGCTTCATGGCTGTCTGGAGCGTGTGGCCACACCACCTCACCAAACTACCTTCAGTTATAATAACATAAGTCACTTGCTATTGTAACTTTATTCATAATTACAATGATTTGGTAACTGCATTGTCAAAGAACTTTTTTTCCACTGTTTAAAAGAGAAAATAGGGAATAAGGTTCGGAAATCAAAAGAAAAAGGGTGAGAAAATTAAATTTATTACTGTAATTTCTACATGGATGGGTTATGCTAACCTGCCCTCAATACTGTAAATCATCGATTGGATCCAGTACTTTAAGCTTCAGCATAATTTAAGAGGTACTTCTGATATTTGGAAGTGGACCTAAGTCTGATGACTGCATAGAGTCTGCATATGAGCAGGCATAGACTCTTCTGAAATATTTTATACTTCTCAACTACAAGAATGTTCTCAAGAACATACCTCACAGCCTTGAAAGTATGGGCCTTGCCAAGCACAACCAGAGTATTAAAGATACTAATTTAATAATGAAACCCCAAAGTTTCATTATTGAGGCAATGAGAAAGCAAGATGTTGGGGGAAGAAAATAAATCATTTAGTTGAAAGGATAACAAACAAAACCCCCAAGGATAACACGGTCCTAGAGGGAAGATGAAGATGAAAGAAATCTGTGAAATTGCTTAGATGGTTTTTTAGCTGTAAAATAATTATTTTAGTTTTAAAAGTTCCAGTATTTGAAAATGTTTTCAGCTTTATGAAGCAATATATAAAATAACATTCATCTTTGCTGCTCCAGAAAACTGTTATTCAGTTCAAGGGTTTATTAATGTTGCAGTATTTTAACTTTAAAAAGGCAGAAAGGAAGCTAATAAAATTTAATACATTTTATTTTATTGATTGATTTGCAATTAAGACTTCTTGCCTATTATTTCTATCTAAACTTCAAGCTTTTACTTACTGTCATTGGTAATTTCCAGCTACTGCTATAACTTTTAGCATTTTCTGTTACATAATATACCGTACTGGGAATCTAGGAAGCTCTCATTCCCCTTCTCATGCTTTGTACATAACAGAATGAATAATGAAAAGCAGTAACAAAAGAAATTCTTACATACCAAAAACTCACTTCATTAAATAAATGTTTTAACTCAAAGAAACATAACATTACTGAGAACTGACCATCAGTAAGAGGTAAAAGTAGTGGTTACTGCTGTTTATGCAGTTGAATATGCTGCGATCTGAAAAATCTACTTTCAGTTTTAACCCATTTCCCTCATGCTGCAAGTGCAGGATGATGCACTGCCTAGTAAGCACCGTTAGCACAACTGACTTGCGAGTTCAAGGGGAAGTTTCACAAGACTGAGCTACTGAGGATCACTGCTTTAGATCCAGAAGCAAAAATAAGACAAGAGAAGAAACACGTGGAAAAGGGAATACAGTCATGGTTCTGAATCTCCGAAGTCACTGGGAGGATTTTTACCTCGTTTTCTTGTAAATTAATTTTAGAAGTAACAGGATTTAAGTGCAAGAAGAATTCTTTAAATGCTTTTTACAGCAAGTCAAATTTCTATAGGCCAGAAAACTTCTTTAAAACAGCACTTTTAATATTTTGATAAAGCGTAAACTCTGACAGAGAAGAGCTGCATAACTTAAGAGGCAAGTGGTTTTACTTGTTATGAGAAACTTATCTGAGAACAGGAATCTGAAACTTCACAGAATAGTAAGGCAATCCTGAGTCAGAACTGCCAGTGTGTCAGAGAAAAGTGGGGATTTTCAGTGAAACAAGGTTGTAATTCAGACAAGGAATACTAAACAGCATATAAATAGTTTTGAAATGAGAGCCAGCTACAATTTAAAATGCCGAAAAACAAGAGAAAACTAGGAAAATCCAACTCAAATATTGCTCATCATAGGAATTCCAGCGTGTGAATTTTTCAAAGCTGCAGTTGTCAGACTCTCATCACAAGAGGGCACTAATAGCCCAGCTGGAGCCAAGCAACTTAAACGACTACACTACTCAACAGATAAATCCAAGGGTAACATACTTTGCAAAGTCCAAATAAGATATATGTCCGTGATAAAATCCTGGTTTCATTTCCTTCCAGGAAGTCACATTCTTCACAAATCGGACCTGTAAAAGTAGACAGCAGAAAATGTTTCTGCACAGCTGGAACACATTCAGTTTCCCCATATATCGTGTTTTCTGGTTTGTAAGTAAAATCTTAAAATGCATTAGAAAAAAAGAAGTCTGTTTTAAACATTACCAAAGAATCTGTGCCAGGTAAAATAGACTTTTCAGCGAGCATACAGATAACTCATTTTAGATCATCACATTTTAATGATCAGATACTAAACGAAAGCAGTACACAGCAGTCAGAAGGGCAATTCAAGGAAAGCTACTACACAAACATTAGCAAGACAAACGTACATTTTTGTCAGTCCATTTCATTTGTAATTTGAAAGGAATGCAGAATTCCCTCAGCAATAAGTAGAAATGCAAGTACATTTTTGAAATTTCTAGAAGTGCATCCAGAAATTTCATAAATGTATACAGTGTGAATTAGATCTCTAGTTTACCATTCTGAACACTTACTTTAAGCCTAACATTTCAGTGGCACTTCCATGTTAAAGCATGAAGTAGCCCTTAAACAAGGGCTGATAAAGCAGTTATCGTCAAACTTCACAAAAATAGGAATAGCTTTACATTTCAAAGATAAAACCAAAGTAAAATACACGCCCCAAACCAGAAAGTATGATCAAATTAAGTGGGACATGCAAATCCTGATATAGCTTAGCTTTATTAGATGAACAGAATATTTTAACATCAAAGCATTTAACTCTGGAAGTTATTTCAAAGCTAGTGAATTGGATAATAAAGAAAAGATGATAAATTTGTACTGCCTGAGCTGTGTGACAATGATACGCCATTTCTGAAGCTGAGAATTAGAAGATAGTGTTCCCTGCACATCTACAATATCTTTTCTGTTACAGAGCAACACAGATAACCATGAAGATACTGAGGTGAAACGAGAGTTGAAAGGGAAGTTTGAGAGCACAAGACAACACACTAACATTCTGAAAAATGTAACAGATTGAGTGTCCCGAAACATGGTATTTATTATTTACTATAACCAACCAATTGAGGATTTTCAGAGGCAAGACTGGCCTGCTGCTGTTACTTCAAATGTGCAAAACTCACAGTCTAGGATTTAAGAAGTTGATAACTTTTACTTATTTCTTCAAACACTGGCTCTTAGACTCTCAGGCAAAAGAAATGGATATTACTTTTTAATGACTGGCAGCATTCATTTTTTCAGTGTACAAGTTTCAGGCATTTCACAATTTAAACCATGTATTGCACATGAAAATTGTGGCAAATCTAGCTGAAAAGCAATGTGCAATGTTATACAATGGTGTTTCATAAACTGCATTGGCTTTCAGTCTGATTTTGTCCACAGCAGAAGCTAAGAATATAGCTGTGAGACTTTGAACCCAGCTGAACTACCTTTACTGCTGCTGAAACAAACCACACTTTCATTGACTGTACCTTTCAAAGATTAATGACAAGGTATTTTCAGTTGAGAGCCTCAGCTATAAATATTTCTACACCTAGGAAAGAAGTCTCCTAAATGCAAAGTATGTATTATCCTTCCTTCCCTCACTCCCAAACCCCAGAATGTCATGGTGGCTTGATACAACTCTGCAAGGAAACCAGTTACGCTACCCACCGTGTGTAGTGCAGCCTGCATATTAAAGTGTGAGTTTCGGTTACGTTTCCATGAACAAGCTTTCTGAAGTCTTGCACCAGCTCGACTTCAGTTTCTAATACACTAGGACTAGACAGGAGGAATCATTAAGTGCAAAATCCCAAGGGTCAGTTCTGTCTTAGATCCCCCATGCCACCATCTAGCATCAAACCTTAGCTGTTACAGTAATAGTTAAAAAAATCCTTTACTGTCTTTGTCTTATAATGTCATTGTCTGCTACAGAAGTAATTTTTATGAGCATAGGATGCATGTTCTAGCCTTTTATTAACTTTAACACCAGGCAAGCTAAGAGAAGGCTAGGAAGGTTTAATAAGACAGCTGCGACACTTGCATCTGCCTTAAGATGGACCAGAAATATGCCGTAACCCTGAGAATTTAAGTTTTTAATACCTATAACTAGTCTGCAGACAAGAGATTATTTCCCCCCAAACACAGAGTTTGCAGCATTCCAAAAAATCAGAATTGTTCCAGGTCATAGACAGCCTAATGAGTCTGGGTTCACATATTTTAGGGCAGAGATGAATATTGCTTGCTGCTTCATACTGTTAAATATGATCAATTTTACCTTTCTTTTCAGGGCTTAACAGATATTGGAGCTTTTTAAAAGACTGAGCAAGCTTCTCCATCAGAACCCAACTGAATAAAATTTGAGGTTACTTTAAAAGTTCAGATAGCTGTGAATGGAATTCCTGTGAAGTTGTTTCATGGTGCTTTTATATAATCAGCTACAAAGTTGCTGCACAGCCCTGAGTAAGTGAGAAATCAGCTGAGCTTCACTAAATTAAAACGCCAGATCAAACGTACTCTGGGGGCGTAAGATGTCCTGAAAGGTAAGTTAAACACATCCAGTTTCTAGGATGATAAGAATTTAAAACAAGTCCCAGTGAACCAAAAAGAAAAGAAAAAAAGCCAGCATGCTTGGTCTGAGCAAGAAGACCCGAGAAATCTCTGCATGCAAACAAAGCGATGCTGTAAGCTGTCACCTCTGTTCACTAACTGCTTCCATCAATCTCTCTTCTCCACAGTGTGAACATACACACGCACACCCTCTGCCCCCAAAAGGTGGTATGGTCATTACCCTGTGGCCTAGTATCACATGGACTTCTGGACACTAAAAAAGCCCTGGCTTTTCACATCATTATATTCTAGTTTTGTTCATCAATTGCCAAATAACTGACTTAGAATTACAAATAACTGAGGGGCTGAATATCATAAGCTCAGCCTGGTGAGGACACACGAGGACTTTCCATTTGGGCTCTCAAGTAAGACTGAAGACCAACACGGTCTCCCCGTAAAGGAAATCTCAGATTCAAATTTAAAGACCAAGCATGACGTGATGACTGAATCAGGATCCCTCTGCAGGAAGGCACTGGCAGCTTAGCCGTTCAAACTGTAGTACAGTCTCATAACGTAGCTCTAAATAAGAGGGTGAGGAATGCTGGAAACAAGCTAGCAGCACACCTTTGGCTGAATGCCATGAGAAACCACAAGCACGCTCAAGGGAAGGACAGCAGAGAAACTACTTTGTGAGATGGCAGAGTGCAACAGTTCAGCCAGGATACCTGCCTCGTGTGAACAGTTCTTCCTCAGAAGAAAAAATACAATTGGCACATGTACAACAGCAGTGGACACTAGGCCATCTAACTCCAAGAGAAAAATTCTTCAATTAGCAGCAGCACATGACAGTACTTCCACTTCTAACAGAGTCGCTGCAGCCTTTGACTTGTTCCACTTCCGACAGCCAATGAAACCTTCACCAGCAGAGCAAATAAGTACTACTGAAGGCAGCATGAATGTACCATCCTCTGAGAGGCCACTGTTTTAGAATACATTTGGAAGCAAGACTGTATGTTTTCAGGTCGGTCTTTTCAGAAAAACTGAGAAAGAAACAGCAGGAGAAAAAAAGAACAAGGAAGAGAAAAGAGCAGGCTGAGGGAGTGAAGTGCTAGGTAACCGCACTATAGCTTTTCCATGCTCACAACAACAGTACAAAGAACACCTTCACATATCCCCTTTTCTAACAACTTATGAAGAACACATGCTGCAAGACAGAACAATCATTTCGTTTTACATGTTTTAGATGACAATTTCTCCATGTAACAAAGAAGCTGAAGTTTGCGTGGCTGGTATGCCATCCACAAAGGCCTAACTTACAGGGACAGGAAGTGTCAGTGATGAAACACGCAAACAACAAATAAAATCCAACCAAACAACAGCTCTAACGAAAACAAGTGGGCTTGTTACAGACCACACAGGTCAGAAATGCGACACGGCACTCGGCTTGCTGCAAAGGAAAGGCAAAACGTGTGGAACGAGGGGCAATTCCTAGGTTCCTGCTGCCAGAGAAGCTGCAAAAGAAAGGATGGCTGCTGGGACAAGTTCCATCTGAAACCAAAATGGATGTGTTACGGACTCTCATCGGATTATTGCGAATCAGATACAGGTTATATGTGGAGTGGATTTTAAATAGTGGGGGTTTTTTCCAGATTGCATTCAAGAAGTAAAGATTTCGCATATGGGCAAAGAACGTCAAATCTGTTACAGGATCGAGTAGTTTGGAAAAAGTACAGCAGAAGTAGTGCGTAACGGAGGGCTCACTGTTTTACAAATTTGTGTCAGGCCCAAGACAATCTTCACCTTACTTAGGGAGGTTTGCTTTAACAAACATTATCACTGATAAAATAATTTTGCCTCTATGATGTGTTTATGTATTTTACTACTGCTGCATATACTCCTAATGCACTGAAGTGAGCTATACTGATAAAAGGTGGCATGTATTTCAGGCAAATCCAAGGCCATGAACAGTAAATCTGCATCAGCTACTAGTCAACACCTTTGCCATCTCCAGAATTATGATTTACAATGCTGTCTTGATATACTAAAGATAAATAATTATGTCTTCTTCTTTGAACAAATATGCAATACATAAAGTTTTTCACTGCCAGTATGTCCCAGTTAATGGCCACTGAAGAAGAGGAATATCAATTGTCTAATTAAACAACATAATTTAACACCTTGGACAATAGCATAGTATCAAATGAAGGTAGGACTGCCAGTATTGTATACATGCCCAGTGTGGATGGATTTTCATTTTTCAGTAGTTCATTATTAGAGGAAAAATGAGAAGAGTTTCTCTTAGACAAAACAAAGTCAGTAACAAATTGATTTGAATGAAATTGAAACAAAAGCAGAAATTTAAGGCAAGGTTGCCTACGTTTAAATTATACCATCAATAACTAGCTCTCCTACCCTTCAGGACAGACCACTCGGATTCAAAGAGAATCACAATCTGTGGTTGGAAGTGTAGCATTAAGTATGACTGACCTGAGTATGATTTTTCATTAAAAGACATAGGCTTGTTAAATCTTTTGAAAAATCACTCTGCTGGTGGTGCACAGATCTCGAGTACTTGTTCTAAGCAGTGGACAGGGCTATAAGGACGGCTACCAGATCTACTCTTAGTAATCTCAGTAATCACATATTACAATGTCACCTTCATATTTAGGAAAAGACTTCACAATGGCAAAAACCCAACAGTAACACAACCCCGCTATGACAAAACAGGCTCCCAGTCCCACCCTAACTACACTCAGTGGCCCCTGAACTAAGATCCCTCTCTCAATCTTTCTCCCACCTACAGAACTGAAAGTGGAGGGCGCCTTACTACCATCTGCTTCCCCTCGCCCCACTCCAGCAGCTGTGCTGAGCTGCTTCTGCCTGTAGGCATGTACTTAAAGGAGCTGGAAGCCTCAGTGCTGACATGCTGCAATGCAGAACAGCTCCTGCCTCTGCTGCATATCAACGTAAGATAATCAGCATACAACCGGTAGTACATACCCAGGAGTTTGGAAACACTCATTTTATGGACAGGGATGATGACATAGTGATGTTTCAGAACTCTGATCATGGTTATTATTCAAAAGAGGAAAACAAAAAACCTATGCCCATACCACACCCTGAGAAAAACTGAGCATTGATCCTCCATCATCTTTTTTTTTAATGCTTCATCATCTGAGGCAGTGGTGGCCCTGATCATTTCTAGCCTGGGGCTACACTGATTTTAGGGAGAGTTTTAAGCGGGTGCAAGGTGACCCATTCTTTAGTGTGCAAGATATTTACACCACTTCTTTCTATCTGTTTTTATCAGCTGTGAGACCAGACCTAGTACCAAAGACAGAAGTATAGCCCTGACAGCATAGCACAACGTCTGCACGACTGCAAGACAAAAGCACATAAGATTGCATTGCAGGGGAAGATGACAGGCAAATATTATTACACAGCCAAAAGGCAGACAGTTGACAATACAACAAACCTTTACAGTTCTAACAAACCATTGAATCCTAGAATGGTTTAGGTTGACAGGGACCTTAAAGACCATCTAGTTCCAACCCCCCTGCT